CCGGGACTAGTTGCGGGTTGTTGCTATTCGTTGCCGCGCATCGCTTGCTCGCTATTCGAACACAGCAGGCTTGATTAAAACGAAAATTCATTGCGGAGTCTGTGAGAATTTCGGAATTATTGTTCTATCGTGTAATTTACATAAATTTTTTTTTTGCCACTTTTACGTAAATCATAATTGCGAGATTACGTTAAAATGACGGTTAGATATTCGGTTTGCGCGAATTTTTTTTATTTTTATTATTAGAGAAGTTCGGATTTTTCAAGTTGTTTAATATCCAAGCGAGAGTTGTAAGTTCTGCGAGAGAGAAACGGCAAAAAGGGAAACTCGGAAGCTCGCTTCTGCGGGAAGTCTGTCTCCCTACGGAAGGAGTCATTGCCGTTCTTCGTTGATGCGCTATCACGACGACCGAACGCATTTCCGGAGAGACTCGCATTCATGAAATAGTAGCCGAAGTTCCTCGTTGAACGAAACTTTGTTACCCGAGGTCCGCTTTTCGCGTAAGAAGCTTGCAGCGAAAAACTTGCACGACGGAACGTGTCGTGCGCCATTTGTCGCGTAACAGACGCCGTCGTAGATCCCGCGCGCGCTTAACATTTCGTAGCTCAAATAGCTTACTCCTTAATCCCTTCGCGCCAGGTCTCTGGCTGAGCCTCAGAGACCGAGAAACGCTTGCAACGGCCCCCGGGAGGGGGGGGGGGGAAGGGTATTACGTGTTGGTCTTTTTGCGGATACGAAAGAAAGTTGGAAAGAGCTTATGCCGCTTTACGTAGGCGTGAGAGACACAAAGTGCCACATATATTTAAAGGAGAATACTTTATCACCCGAATATACGCTTTCTTCGAGACTGGTGGTAAAATAATTTACATACGTTTTGGAATATCTTCGACGATTTTCGATGTCCGTTTCAGCGTTGACTTGATCTACTTAATTTGTGTACAAAATACACACACAAGCGATTCGAGAATTGTTTCTTATTTGCTCATTATTACAATTATTTCTTATTATTGTGTAATACATTAAAAGTATTTTACATTCTATAATTTAATTTTAAAAAACGACTGTCGCATATAAATCGTATCGCTATTGCGATCGGTGGGAAAAAAAAAAAAAATTGCCTCGAGATGCAAGTGCATCATAGCTGTCGTTTAGCTGCTAAATAATAAATTGCCGGAAAAGCGGACTAGTACTCCGCGCGCAAGTACGTCTTTGAAATTTTTACGAGGCATGAGAAATAGTTGGAGTGGAAAGCCGCAGGACGTAAACATGCATCGTTATTTGTCACATTGATCATGCGCAACGAATAAGAAAACGGCCTGTAATAGCGACAAAGTGGCCCGAACTTTTTTCTCCCCTGTGTTATTTTTTTCAATGGTTTTTTTTTGTATCTTGCAACCACACGAATATATAGAGCGAGAGATAAAAAAGAAAAAAAAAGTTTGTAACACGCTGTTACACAAGAGATTAGATCGTAACGAGGATTCTAACGTGAGAAATAATCACGTGAAAAGAATTTGTATAGCGCGAAATCGATATACACTTGGAAGTTTCTTATACAACACAGTCTCGGACGTCGGAAAGCCAATCGATAAAACTTCCACGTGGCCGCGGTAGATTTGTCTGCGCACGGCCGATTTCCCGGGGTACATCCTTTACCTCGTTCGCGAAGCGTCCAAGCGTGACAACCCTTGCATTATGCCGCCGATTTCCATGACCGTAATGTCTCTCGCAGAAAAGCCCCGGCAATCTTCCGCAAGAACGACGCCGCCGCGCGCCTTGTGTTACTTTCCATTTTTCAAACACGGCGTGTGTATGTGTGTGTGTGTGTGTCGCGCGGTCGCGCTGTATCATCGATTTCACGTTACCGAATATACGGCGCATTATAAATTTTTCATCCCCCGAACCGCCGCTTCCGCGGCAAAATCCCGCCGCATGCCAGTATGAATATTTTATTACGACCGAATATCCGCGTGTTTGCGCGTTTCTCAAATCAATAATGCGCTTCTAAATGTTAATTGTGAATTCTCGACTCTTTACCTTTGAACGAGAGTTGTCGATTTTTCAAAAAGATTTATTTTTCAAGAATAACAAACGTAATAAATAAAATAATTTATCAAATTTCCGAACAAATTGCGAGAACCTCGTTTGTTATCGCTTTGACGGACAAACGCGCAGTCACATGTCGGACAGAAATTTCTCAAAAACAAAAAACGCCATCGCTCAAGTAAATTTTTATCGATGACACATATTACACGTGTCCGCGTGCAACGGCACGTGCGTGTGAATGACACTGATGGCGAGGCGGCGCTTTTGAGAAGAGGAATGAACAAACATTTAAATCGTTAACGATAGAAATTGAATTGTTCAATTGAATACACTTTTATTTCATAGTTCTGGGCGTGCTACGCGGTTACATACCGACGCATGTTTCGAGCATTGGCGCGCAATCGTCGAGCATAAGTTGTTCATGCGTTTGACGAGGGAGAAAAACGCGTGTCGCGATCTCCATTCGTTTGTCGTCGACTCTCTCGCCGAGCGGAATGAACCGCGCAGTTTTCAAACGTCCCCCTCCCCCCTTTCCCCATTTGTTTTCCCGTACGAGACGGACGTCGACGATTCTTTTGTGACTTTTTTTTGCGTTGTTTTAGGGTTTCGCGATTTTAGCCTTTTGATTGTTTCGAATTTAAATATTCCACTTCGAGAACAATTTGAAAACGATCGCAGCGAGATAACCACGCGCTCGCGGGAACATCTTAATTTCCATTAATTTAAATTTTTCCCGTTTTTATTTCTTGTTGCAATTTCAAGAGTTCAGTTTTTTTTTTTTTTTTTCTAAACTTTTATTTCGCGCGCGTTCTCGTCCGCACAAATTACGTCTGCCATCTTACGACACGGGAACACCGTCGAAGGTAGTAAATCTATCAGTCGGCCTCCTCTCTCTTCTATCGATCTAGCGGTCTGCACGGAGCGCAAGTGTCAATCCGCTTCTTTTTTTCTCACGGAAGGATCTTCTTTTTTTTTCTTTTTTCTTCTCTCTGATCGTGTTACTCGGTATCAAGGATTCTAATTTACTTTTTTCAATTGTCAAACTTCCATCACTCCGACTTATTTGCTCAGTTTTCCGTGGCAATTCGATTCTTTCCTCATTCGTATCTCCGTTTTATTCAAGTTTTTGTTTTTTTTTTCCTTCGCGTTTTTCCAGAAAGGAAGAAAATACTTCGTCACGCAACAATTTCAATTCCGCAGCAACGTATTCGTTGACTTTTTAATTATATTCCGCTTGTGTTGTTAGACGCGCATCTTCTTCTTCTTCTTCTTTCACGGCAAACTTTTTATCTATTATACTTTTTTTTTTTTTTACCTCAATCCTCCCTTCCCTTCTCTGTGATTGGCTTGAAAAATGTTATCCCAGGTGGCAGGAACTTATTTCTCCGTTCGTTTCACTTTTGATATCGCGAAATGTTCGCTACACGTAACCGCCGTAATTTATTTTAGAGTCGTTTCTTTAATTATCAATTACTTTAAAGACCGACCGCTGTCTGCGAATAATGTTCTTCGCGATCTCGTCGGAATTACTGACTGACGCAAACGAGGAGTAAAAATCCCGTTCTGTTGAAAGACGGCGGGAGGGTATGGAGGTCGAATCTGCGAGGATTTCGGACGACAAAGGAAAGAAAACGCGAAAATGGTCTCAATCATAATTAATTGCTCGGTCGTACGACTTAAAGCGGGGTGATTATCGTGGTGTTTGATTCTCCCCTTGTCCCATCCCCCGTGACTTCTAATTCCTCTTTCTCTCTTTTGTGACACCGGAAAAACCGGTGTACCACGAGCTTGTTTATCACCGGGAGTACAAATTAGGTTTCCGTTTGCGCAGCGGGCGCAGAGGATGACTGTCGAAGTAATTCGGACTTACGCCAAGATATCCGTGGCAGAAGCGGAACGGTATTCCGAACACGCGAAGTAGTAAAGAGAGAGAGAGAGAGAGAGAGAGAGAGACAGAGAGACAGAGAGGAGAGGAAAGGGGTACAAGGGTTCTCTCCTTTGTTTGAGAGCGTCCAAAGGATTCGGAAGAGAAAATTGCCTCGTTGCCTCGTTTCGGCACGATATCATGTACTACACGGAAGGTCTTTATAGAACTTTGCTGCAGAGGTCTCCTAAAGAATGGAACGGACTGGAATTTCTGTCAGGATCTCAATCCTCGGTTGAAGACGGTGTTTTTACGGTGAAATAGTTCAGCGCTCGTATACTCGCGAGAACTTGTTCGGTTATTAGCCAAGGGATCTTATTGGAATGGAAAAACAGTTTTTTTTTTTTTAATTGCTGTGTTTTTAGAATAAAATTTTAATACTTACTTTCTTTGTTCAATCTGAATTTTTCTAATATTAATAATATTAATAACAAGAAATATATAAGGCCTTACGAGCCATTCGCAGGATGTTTGAGCGGAAACTATGCGTGTGTATATATATATATATATACACATGTAACGACTTCCACTTGTAAATTTTTACAAGTGAGTGTTTTTTTGAATTGAAATCTCAATTCTTAAATTCATACGGGATGCTGGATTTGCATCACACATATGAGAGACCCCGAATACCCCCCTAACTAATTTTAAAATATTGCGAAAAAAACTCCTCGGCCAGGAGTCGAATCTGGAATCTCCGGCTTTTCGTGCCATACGGTTCGACTCCTGGCCGAGGAGTTTTTTTCGCAATATTTTAAAATTAGTTAGGGGGGTATTCGGGGTCTCTCATATGTGTGATGCAGATCCAGCATCCCGTATGAATTTAAGAATTGAGATTTCAATTCAAAAAAACACTCACTTGTAAAAATTTACAAGTGGAAGTCGTTACATGTGTATATATATATACACGCATAGTTTCCGCTCAAACATCCTGCGAATGGCTCGTAAGACCTTATATATTTCTTGTTATTAATTTCAAAGCGAGCCTTAAGTCATAATTGATTAATAATATTGATGTGTTTTGTTTCAGGTAAGTGTACATCTCACGCTGGTACGTGTGAAATCGCTGTGTTAAATGTCAAAAACTGCTGCTGTGAGTTGAGTCTTTTAGTCTTCATTATTGTAACAATAAACATAATCATACAAAACGACAAGACACGAACGAAAAATAATCACGATCGTTATTAACGACGTTATTAATTAATATATCTCCGCTCGTTTCTTCTTTTTGTTTGGATGTCTCATTAAAATCGGCGCGGCAATCCAATCATTCCCGATCGGTTGGTATAAAAAAAAAAAAAAACCGCTTCCGGGCGTTTCAGCTCGCGCTAGTTGACGACGATGCCGCTGTGGCGGTTGCGGTGAACCAATTCGTCGGGAAGATCCATATTCGAGGAAAGCGCTCCCGACCGGGGGCACACCTGCCGCGCTCGTCTTCGCCTCAGATGCGCTGAATAGAATTCGCCGAGATGGTTTTGCATTTGCGTATCACGCGTCGCAACCTCCCTCACCGCGCCGCGAATCCGTGAAACGTCCTCCTCGAACGTCGATGAGGATATCGGCTTTCCACGTTCCGCTACGTACTTCGTATTTCCTCGAGAATCACCTCCTGAAACGTGACCGACACTAATAGGGAGTTATTCGCGGATCTCTTCAAGAAATACAAATTTTTATTCAAAATATTATTTTTCGAAGTAATCGAAATCGCAACGATTATTTTTCGCAGAATTATTTTTCCAATTTGATACATTCAACGAATTTCCAATTTGTTTTCTCAATTAAACGCGATCTCACGAACATCTTATTGTCCTGTTTTTTTTGTCTTCCAAATAAATCGATCGAAAACCGATAGTCGGCAGAAATGCGAAGAATCCCTCCTCAGCGTTGCGTTTCTGACGTACAAAACTTTTGACAGCGATGCCGACCGTTGCGTACACCACCGAGACACGGTGGTCTCCCGGGGAAAAGGATCCTAGGAGGATATTTGTCTATCTGCGTCTGACGCCGAGGCAAATTGAGATATCGATTTGCAATTTGGCACGTGGTTCCGATCGCCCGGGAATATCGCTCGCGGCCGACCGGACCGTTGCAACCAATCGCGACTGATTGGTTCGTGATCTTCCGATCCAGCGACGTGTATTTGGGGGAGGCGATTTCTTCGTTCATCTCTCGTCTCTCTTTTAAAAGCTTCGCGCGGCTTCTTTGTTCCGTCCGTAGGGAGAGACAATCGAACGTCGGTAATGAACATTATTGCCGTTTCGAACACGTGCACCGCACCGATTTTCCTCGATATTATTTACTTAACACAGTGAAATAATTTGTTTAGTTTGATCGTTTGATGTCCGTGTGCGCTTGTGCGATCTCGTTTGCGATCCGCACAAAGAGAAAATAATTACGCATGTCGTTGCATAACCGCGTCGTTGCAACATGCGCGGGAAGTGTTCGAGATTCGGCCCCGCGAGCATTATTTCTCACAAACGTTTTTTAATACTTCCTTTCCCAAGCGCTTTCTCTTTCTCTCTCTCTCTCTTTTTAGAAAGGTAGAAATTAATTAAATCCGCGTCGGTGGCTAACGAAGTATATACGATGAAACGCGCGCTCATATCCCCGCGAGCTGCAAGAACTGCTTAACGTGTTCGACTAATTATTGCATTTTGGATCCCAACGCGTGATGAACGAGTTCCGCAATTGTCGTCCGACGGTTTCTGTTTTCCGGTATTAATTGCGCGGCTACGTCGACGACAGATATAAATCAGGCCTTAATCACTCAAGGCCGGGGAATCGCAAGCAACCGCGGCGCTTTATGGCGCGACGACCGTGATGCACGTGATTACGTAAACGTCCGGACTTTTTTTTTTTTTTTTTTTTTTTTTTTAATAACAATTGCTGCGGTCGCGCGCGAGCGCACACCGCCATCAATTTCGCGCGGCAACGTGGTCGCGCGGGAGGGAAGATCGCGTCGCCGCGTATGTTTCGCGCGAGACTTCGCGCGAGATCTTTTTGCGCGAACGCGCAATTAGCGCGGCGTTACTTGCGTTAGATTAAAGCTCATCGATCTTCGAGCAATTTACGCGGCTTTTTGCGGCGCGCCGTCACTCTGCGTACGGGTCATATTTTATGCGCGACGATGTACACGCGGTTTGCTTATCCCGTGTCTCCCTCTCTCTATCTCTGACAGTGTTTTTTAATTATAAAAAATAATATATAAAGTTTTTGCATCTGTTCGAGACGAAAAGTGGCTTGCGCCCGCGTCGTCGTATATCTTTTCGCGTATACACGCTGTGTAAAAATAAAAACAAAAAATTAATATGTTACGCTTTTGTGTGTAACTAATGGTCGAGCAAGCTTGAGATACGTGGCATAATTCACGCGCAGGAAAGCGCGCAAAGTTTCTTCTCTTATTTCACCCGGTTGGGGGAGAGGAGGAGGAGAAGAGGGTTTGCCACACTTTTGGACGGAAAATTCTCGCGTAATCGGGTCACGTCGCCATTGTGTCCCGACGAATCATCGCGCTTCGTTATTCGCGCCCGGTACCGCGTGACTTAATTGCGCCACACATTATGTAATAAAGCCGATGGCGCTTTAATTACTGGCGAGCACAAAGGGTCATTCTAGGGGTGGCTGTGCGGAGCTAGTTCGCGAATTAATTGCGCCATACTACTTCAGACGCGAAGACCAAGATAAATCACACTTTAATATCACTATCGAGAGTCGCGGTGGAGCACGGGCGGGATCGCATTTGACAGGTTGATTAAAAATTCATCTGATATCTTTCACCGCGCGTTACACGTGAGACCGTGGCGGCTTTATCGTCGGGCTTTATCGCGACAAATCTCGAGAAAGAGTCAACGCGCGTTTATTCGCGCGATGGCAGATATCGTATTCACGAAGCAGCGTCGCACGCGCCACATGCGCATTATCATTAATCAGGATTTTACCTGAGAGAGGCGGCAAGCTTGTCCCACTTACGAAAGCGGTTTTAAGGAGAGCGTCGCCGCGAGCTCGTAACATAACTCTATTTTAATTAATCCGCGCGCGTAAATACCCGTGTGTTTTCCGCTGTTTTACGCTGTTCACCACATCGTAGATCGCGTTTCACGTTTTCGCGTTAATAACAAACTTGCAATCTCGTCGTCAAGGTTTACGTGTTATGAGACACTGTACTTTACGTAATTGCAAAATTTTGCGCCGTAAACTGCGCGTCGATTTAATTATCCGATAAATAAAGAATTTACGTCAAATTAGATGTAGACGATGAAAACTGCAGCTCTCTTTGATTATATTTGCACGTTTTTTTTCTTGTGTTTTTTTTTTTTTTTTTTTTTTTTTAATTAAAAACCTTAGTATCGAAATAGCTTTCGCGCTAATAAATCATAACACGACAGAAGATTTCGTTTGAGAATTATCACTCGGATATCCTTGTGCAAGGCTAGAAATCCGTGTGTGTGTGTCATTTTATTGCACGCTAATCACATATTTGTTTTTGTTTATTTTTTATCTTTGTGCTCTTTCCCCGTTACGCGTGTTTTTTTTTTGTCTTTATTAAAAATGAAAACGTTAAAGAGAACGTATGTGTGTGTCTTTGAGATGAAAAGGTAAATATATACGGAAGGCAAAGCTGCGCGCATCCCATCTTTCCTTTCATTTACTTTTCATACTTGTAAAGGGTAATATATAGGCATCTTCAAAACGCGCGCAGTAGAGAGAGAGATATATTAAGCCAATTTCGTCTCCGTGTGTGTGTGTGTGTGTGCCGGTACGCGTTTGCAGACAACTTAGTAGAATTTGTTAGACTCCATTAAAAAGGACCGGAGCAAAGAAGAAAAGCGTTCTCTTATACGCGCGCGCATATTGCTACTCTCTCTCTCTCTCTCTCTCTCAACGTGAGTGAGTGAGTGATATCTCTGCGTCTCCGCGCGCGTTTTTTTTATCGGAAGCGGAAAACAGACACACACACGTGGGGTCGCGCGGATGTCGGCGCCGCGCGCTCAAAGTGCGATTACAATTTTTCTCACGGCGTGCGTTTCCGCGACGCGCGCGGCGCTGAAAATTGGATAAGTCGATTTTCTCATTTGTTCGCGAGCAAAGTGCCGCGGCGCAAACAATGAGAAAAAAACGGACTTCGTCGTCTGCAGACCGCGGGCGGTCCTGATGATGCGACTCTAATGGAAAAGCCATAGGTGAGAAGCGCCGTGACTCGGTTTCTTCCGTGACTCGCTTGAGAAATGTGGAAAAACCAACGACAACGGGACGAAACGAGAAACGACGACGGAGAGAAGAGCCGGGAGAGGAAGAGGATTGTCTTCCTCCGTCCTTCTTGGAGAACGGGATTTGCATATCATTTCACGTATTTGTCATTTTTACCTAGATTTCGCGACGATGTGTGCAGTGTATCTATTATATTCGCGTGAAATATTAAACAAAGAGCCGGAGGGAATAGTCGAGACCGAGAGAATCTGGCGCGAAATATGAAATATGAATCAATAGTTTCACAATTTCATACGCTTGTAAAGCTGCAGCGAGAAACTGTATTGTACGGTAACTCGAGAATTATTTACGTGCGCGCCACGCAGTTATTGCGACTCTCGTTACGCTACTCATGTAAAACGTCGGCGGAAATGTGTGTTGCGACGACGGTAAAAAAAAAAAAAAAACTAGACTTTACGCGTAATGAAATCCATTTTATTATTCCATTGACTCGCACACACACGCGCGCGCGCTTAATCGGAGGACACGTTATAAAAATACGCGGGAGAAATAAATTAGATAATAGCGCGCAAACGCCTACTAATCGAAGCGATTAAAAAAAACAGTAAAAAAAAAAAAAAAAAGTGTCATCGGCGACAGAACGAGAAGAGCAGATTTTATTTTCGGAAACCTGACAAACAATCGCTCGGAGCGCTTACGTTTGAACGCGCGATAATATGAAACGACAAATCCAATTGCGATGAATGCGCGACGCGAACTGACACGTCACCGCCTACGGGAAGTGTGCCGTGCGGCTGTTTCCCGGGGTGCGCCAGGTATCCACGGAGTTTACGAAAGCCCTCGGATACACGAGCGGGCAGTTAGTCATGCGCGGAATGAGCCAAC